ATAGCCTACTGTTGACTAGAAGCCTTTCTGGTAACATAGTCAATTGATTAACACGTATTTTGTATGTTACATATATTAGATACTGTATTCTTACAATAAAGTGAGATAGAGAAAATGTAATTTAAAAATTGTAAGAAAGAGAAAATATATTTATAGTACAGTATGGTATTTACTGGCAAAAAGTCTGCATATGTGAGGGGACCCACACAGTTCATGTCCATGCTGTTCAAGGGTCCACTGTATTACATGTGGAGTAATACAATATTGCTTTAATTAGAATATTAAAAGTTAAAGATAGAAATTATGAATCCTAAAGTAGCCACTAAAATAATTCAGTAACATAAATATAGCTAACACATTAATAAAGGGAATAAATGGGGGCACCTGGGTGGCTCAGTTGGTTAAGCATCTGCCTTCAGCTCAGGTCATGATCTCAGGGTCCTGGGATCGAGCTCCACATTGGGCTTCCTACTCAGTAGGGAAGCTGGTTCTCTCTCTCTGCCTCCCCTTGCTCATGCTTTCTCTCTCTCTCAAAATAAATAAAATTAGAAAAAAAATAAAGAGAACAAACAGAATCATAATAAATATTCAATTAATATAAAAGAAGGCAGTAAAGTAGAGACAAAAGAAAAAAGGACATATGAGATGTATAGAAAATAACAGGAATATGGTAGACTTAATCCCAATCAAATCAATAACATGACATCAAAGGCAGAGTTTTCAAACTGGAGAAAAATGCAAGATCCAATTACCAGCTGCCCATAAGAAACCAACTTAAATATAAAGAAGCAAACAGATGAAAAGGAGAAGTATGGAAAGAAGTATGCCATGCTAAACTAATGGAATACAGAAGTGCACAACTAATACTGAAAAGTAGATTTCAGGGAAAAGAATATTACCAAGAATAAAGAGGGCCATTTCCTAATGATAAAGTGGACACTTCAGCAAAACAATAAACAATCCTAAACGTCTATGTACCTAATAGCAGAGCTTCAGAACATAGGAAGCAGATAATGACAGAACCAGAAGGAGAAAGAGACAAGTTCACAATTACACTCTGAGATTTCAACAACCTTCTCTCAATTATGAATAGAACATGTAGACAGAAAACCAGTAAGGATATAGAATACTTGAACTATGCCATCAGCCAACTTGACCCATGACACTTGTAAAATGCTTCACACAGATACAGTAGAATAGACATTTTGCTTAAGTATGTATGAATTATTTACCAAGACAGATTTTGTTGTGAGTCATAAAACATGTCTCAATAAATTTAAAAGGATTCAATTCATCCAAAGTATGTTCTCTAACTACAATAGAATTAAATTAGAAATAAAATGAGAGAGGTCTCTGCAAAGTCCCAGATCTCTGCAAACACAATTAGAAATAATCATGAGTAAAGAAAAAAATCATAAAAGGAAATTTGAAAATAGTTTGAATCCAATGGAGATGAAACCCAATACATCAAAATTTGTGGACTACAGCTAAAATTTGTGGACTACAGTGACTAAACGGAAATTTATTGTACTAAATAAACACATTAGAAAAGAAGAAAGATTTCAAAGTAATGATATCATTTAGTTAGACCCAACATAAAAGCAGAATAAAAGAAATAAAGATCAGAGTAGAAATTAGTTGCATGGTACTCTGTAATAAAAACAAATTCAAGCCACATGTCACACTGTGTACAAAAATTAACAGAAATGAATCTCAGACTTAAATATAAAGCCTTGAATGCTAAATCTTATAGAAAGAAATGTAGAAGAAAATCTTTATGATCTAAGGTGATAATAAAGGTATTTTTAGATAGCACCAAAAAAAACAAGGTCTACAAAATAAAAAAAATTATGAATTGGACTTCAGGAAATTTAAGAACATGTATTCTTCAAAAGCACTGCTAAGAGAATGCAAAACAAGCCACAGATGTAGGGTAGGGAGGGATTGCAAATCATATAGATGAAAAAATTGTATCTAAAACACACAAGAACTCCTAAAATTCAGTAACATGGGAAAAACAATTAAAAATGGCAAAATAGGGCAGCCCCGGTGGTGCAGTGTTTAGCCCTGCCTGCAGCCCGGCATGTGATCCTGGAGACCCGGGGTCGAGTCCCGCATCGGGCTCCCTGCATGGAGCCTGCTTCTCCCTCTGGCTGTGTCTCTCCCTCTCTCTCTGAATAAATAAATTTAAAATAAAATAAAAATAAAAATGGCAAAATATTTGAATAGCTATTTTTTTTAAGAGAGGAGGTGGAAAGGGGCTGAGGGAGAGGGAGAGAGAGAATCCTAAGCAGGATCTATGCCCAGCACAGAGCCTGACACAGGGCTCATTCTCACAACGCTGAGATTCTGACCTGGGCCAAAATCAAGTTGGACACTTCACTGACTGAGCCCCTGAGGAGCCCCTTGAATAGATATTTTATCAAAGAACATATACAGATGTCAAACAAACATAAAAAGATGTTCAACATCATAACATCATTAGTTATTAGGAAAATGCAAAGTAAAGCCATGCAAGATACCACTCCATACCTACTTAAAAAGACTGGCCATCTCAAGTACTGGGCAAAATGGTAGAGGAACTAGATCTCTTACACACTACTGTTGGGAACATAAAATGGTACAACCACCTTGGAAAACCTTTTAACATTTTTAAAATGCTAAACAAATAACTCCATATGACTCAGGCATGCCACTCCTAGATATTTACCAAGAGAAATGAAACCAGATGTCCATATCAAGACTCCTACAAATATGCAAAGCAGCTTTATTTAAAATAGCCAAATCCTTGGTGTAGAAGCTCAAAGGTATATTGACAAGTAAATGGATAAACTGTGGTATCCACACACTGAAATTTTATTCATCAATAAAAAGGAATGGACTACTCAAAGAAATCATTCAAAGAAAAGTAGAGTACATACTGTATGATTCCATTTATAGAAGATTTTAGAAAATGTAAACTAATCTATAGAGATGTAACAGAGAGGGGCATCTGGATTGGGTTGGGTGCAGAGGGGTAGGAGGGTAGGATCACAAAGTGTCACCAGGATACTTTCCAGGATAACAGATATGTTTGCTGTCTGGATGTGGTGACAGTTTCTCATGTCAAGATGTATCATGATACATGTCAAGTATCACAAGATACATGTCAAGATGTATCAAATTGTATGCTTTACAAATGTGTGATTTAATAATTATTCCCTAAGAAAGAAGCTTCAAAGCTGTAACACTGCAAACTTCCTTTTCTTTGGAATTTGCATGGATTATATATTTCCTTTCACATTCAACCTTTTAGTAGTCTTTATTTTAGGTGTGTACTGTGTAAGCAGTCTAAAGCTCGATTTCCCAGCATCTAACATACACTTAATACTTTCTGACTGTTCAATAAGTGAATCTCAGCTGGTGATCTAAATCATTGATTTAGTCTAGAGAATTTAGTTCATGCACATTCATTGTGACATATTTAAACTCATTTCTAATATCTTATTCTACTCCCTCAATTTCTCCTCTCTCCCTCCTTTGTCTTCCTTTTTTTCCTCTCTCTCTTTTTTTTTCTTTTTCCTTTCTCCCCTTCTTGTCTTCACTTTCATTGGCTGAAACATTTTTTTTGCCTCTCATTCCGGTCTTTTCCCCCTCCATTGGTTCAGATCTACATGCTCTATTTTACGGATTACCCTAGAAGTTTCAACACATATATTTTAACTTAGCAAAGTCTAACATGACGCAGAACCTTTACTCTCTTTCCCTGGAATAGAAGGACCATACTCATGGTGGTTTATTTCCTTGAGTGTGTAATGATGCTACATTTCATTCTGCTACGTGCATGAAAGGGCTACAGTATGTTAAACTGAATTTTCAGACCATAGTGGTAGCATGGATTCTGGCTGTTAAATCAAGGCAGGGCAGACTGGGGGTGAGGACTCCTTAAGGGAGAACCTGTCTCCTTTCCCTACCTTCTCTCAGAGCCAAAGATGTGAGGTTAGACTCATCCTACAGGGCGAGTTTCCTTTATCTTTCTAGTTCATCCAGTGAGGGTGTGGCCTTTCAGAATTTATAGATTAGTGCAGGGTCCTCCCATCCGACCTCTCACCCTATGTAGACATGCAGCTTTGTCTCCTGACCCACTCACATGTGGCTTGGGCTTCTTTCTTGTACATTTTTAATTAGCTAAAGTATTAATAAGTTCCTTATTCTCTCAGCTTTCTGGTTAATAGAGTGGTGACTAAGAATGCAGTTTTGAGATTCAGAGTGGCTGGGATCAAATCGTGATTCTACTACTTATTTCCTGTGACTTTGGGCAAATTCTTGAAAATCTCTGTACCTCAATTTCCTCACATGAAAAGGGTGAGGCAATAATAGTGCCTGTCTCACAGTCCTTGCAGGCATTAAATAAAGTAATATGTTTAAAGAGCTTAGGACAGTCCCTGGTATCCTGGCTGCTATTATTGCTACAATTTTCATGCTTAAAGAAAATGTTCTGAGGTGATATTACATTCTGTTCTACAAATGCCTTACAAAATGAATTTTCAAGATATAAATGATTTTCAACTCTCAAGTGATGTTACCTAGTTTATTCATATCTGAAGGTAAATATATGGTTTCCTCACTGACAAAATCGCAAGTATTTGATATCGGTTGCTTTTCTATTTTTCTTCTTTTTAGAAAGTATTACTCTCTCTTGAGGTTAGATCTCCAAAGTCTGTTTTTCAATTATAAATTATTTCTGCATGCCACGGGAAGAGCAGATACTCCTACACAAGAAAGAGTCTACCACTGAAAAGCAGCATGGTAACGTTCCATTTTTTTTTTTTAACACAAAATGATGCCAACAGCTGGTTCATTTCATCTTGTGTCAGAACACATCAGTGTATGTACGTCAAGCCCTGGAACAATCACACCTACCACATGGGCTGGCACTGCTCCATTAATGACACGTGAACAAAATAAATGACAAGTTCTAGCCTTCTCCCCAAATAACTCCGATCACATTTCTTAAATACCTGGTGAAGAATGAAGCTTGGTGGCTGAAGCCACGGTTCTCTTAGGAGATGATACAGCAGGTTTATTAGCATCTTGATCTTTTTGTACTTCTTTCTTTGACCCTATACAGAATTTAAAAAGAGAAAAAGAAGGAAAGAGAGTTGGTTACAAATGAAACAGTAACACAAGTTGTTTGTGGAAAGGGAGGCCTAACGCAAGGCAAATGGCAGCAAATAATATTTGGGTGATTTATTGCTATGGTCATCACTCCCTGTGCTTCAGGGATGACACACTCATTTAGAGCAAAGGGAATTTCGTTGTAGTGGTCAGGGGAATCGGCAGGCACACTGCTGTCTCTGATTTGATGAAAAATTCCCCGGTCTCTGGAGGTCACTGCACCCCAGTGACCCTGAAAAATGACCCGGAAATCAAAGATAGACTGTCCTCAGCCACCAACTCCGCCTGCCCACCTCTTCCTGCCCAAACAAATGTTCAGAAGATGGAGACGGAAGCTGTAAGCCAAACACAACTGCTAATGACTTCGGCATCACTGAGACACAAGCCACAGGGGATGTGGTCTGCCTCTAATTCATTTCCATGCAGCTGGTCCACAGAGGTGACCTGGAGAACCTTTTCGCTCTGGCAGCTGCAGCTGAGCCTTCGTGGAACTGCTGTCAGAGCTGGCCCCAGCAGAATGGGATAACCTGAGCGTAAGCAATAACAAAGAACAGCATGTGGACGCTCCTCCAATTATGTCCAGGAGCACAGGGCCGTGTCCCCGTGTGTGCTGGCCACAGACACTCACCTTCACATCACCTTCGACAGAAAGTCAAAGAACAATGGAGGAAGGATTAGAGGAAGAACACAGACCTGGAACACAGACTCGCCTCCACCTCAGCACAGTTTATTATGTCATTTTGAAAGTAAAGTTTGGAGATGATTCCTCAGATACAGAACATGTCCCAGTTCCCACTCACCAAAGCCTGCAACTTCACTCCTCTTCCAGAGGTATCTGCTGGAGGTGATTTGGTGGTTATTCTTCTAGACCTTTTTCTAGGTATTTATACATATTATTGACACCTATGTCAATACAGCTGTTGGCTAGCTAAATGAATCATATATTGCAATTCCTTTACCTACCCACATTTTTAAAGATCTTTTTTTATATTAGATCTTTTAAAGATGTCACATAGTAACAGGCAAAAAAGTACCATAATTCATCAACCCATCCTCTTACTGATGAAAATTTAGAATGTTTTCAAATTATAGCTACTAAAATAGCTAAATGTGCTACAAAACACATTCTTCTACTTGTTTCTTTGCATAGAGGCACTGGTATCTTTACAGGAAAAATACATAGAAGTGCTTTCACTGGATTAAGAGTCTGCTCATTTGCTGTGTTGTTAGACACAGTCCAATTGTCTTCCAGGATGAACTACTAATTTACACTCGCATCTAACAGTGCACAAGGGCAACTCTCTACATGCCCCATCCTCTATTGACATCGAAGTCTCAATCATTTTAATTTTTGCCAGACCTTAAAGTCTTTTTACACTGGTTGTGTGCATTTCTTTGTTTGGAAATTGCCTAATTAAAATCCCTTGCCTATTTTTCTTACTGATGTATTAAGAACTCTTCATGTATTCTGGATATTAATTCTTTATTTGAAGGCTATTTAAATTATATTTCCCAGCCTTTGACTTTTTAAAATTTATAGTATATTTCATTCCATTGTGATTTTAGATTTTAATATGTTCAAATATATCAACTTTTTCTTTTATATAAAAGCACTATTATAGATTATTTATACATTTGGTGCATGCATGTGTATATAAGATGGTGGGGAAAGATCATTCCAGGAGTTTGGAGAGAGAGGCAGGTATTTGGAACCATCTTCCCCATCTTTCATTCTTTTCTGGCGTAACTGGTTCCCACATCCCCTGACCATTGGACCCGCCTCACCGCCTCTCCAGCCTTGCTTACAAGCCTTCTATTATTCCACCCACATACCTGTCACCATCTCTGCTTTACTGCTTTTCGACAAACTCTTTTAGTCTTGTTGATTGAGCTCTTCTGAAGCTTGAATTCTCTTTTGTATCTCTCCCCCATTGCTTTTTTCTTCCTCCTCTTCCTTCCTATGTTTCATGGCATTTAGTTAACATACCCCTAGTCTTTCACATCTCAGTAAGTGGCACCCTCTTTCACTCATTGTGCTCAGGCGCCAACACTAGGCATCATCTTGGTTTGTGTCTTTACTCCCTGCCCACATTTGGCCCATTAGCAAAGCTTGTTTGTTCGCCTCTGAGTACATCCCAGGTCTAACCGCTTCTCTCCCCTCCGCTGCCTCTGCAGAGCCCAACACCACCACTTCCTCTTCCTTCTCTGCTATAGCCTCCTACCTAATCTGCTGTTCCCATTCCCGCTCCTCTACAGCTTATTCTCCCACAGCAGCAGATGAATTGTTTCAAATCTAAGTTAGAGCAAATTATTCTCGATCTTGAAACCCTCCGATCACCTCCCAAGATAGAATGAACTGTGAACTCCTTGCCGCATCAGTGAGGCCCTATAGACCAGCACTAGCTAACAGAAATATAAACATGAGCAACTTGTGTCATTTAAAATTTCCTAGTAACATTTAAAAACTAATAAGTAAATAACATTTTTTATTTAACCCAACATACTCAGTATCACTTCAGCATCTGGCACTGACCACATTTTGAGCTCTCAGTAATGGCTCATGGGTCACTGGCCCTCATACTGAGCAGCACAGCCCCAGATGATCTCCTCTTCTGGCTACTTCATAGACACATTGTGATAGGTAACTTTATGTGTCAACTTGACTGGGTCACAGGGTGCCCAGACATTTGGTCGAACATTCTGGGTGTTTCCAGATAAGATTAAATTTAAATTGGTAGACTGAATAAAGCAGACTGCCCTCTCCAATGTGAGTAGGTCTCATATGATCTGCTGAATGCCAGAGTGGAACAAAAGGCTGACTATAAAGGAAGTTCACATGTCCGATTAGTTGAGTGAGCTGGGATATCGGTCTTCTGCCCTGAGACTGGAACTTAAACCATCAGCTGTCTCTGGGTCTCTGGCTTGCCAACTGTAGACCTGGGGACTTCTTAGCCTCCATAAACATGTGAGCCGATTCCTCATAAAAAAATCTCCTTATATGTGTGTGTGTGTGTATTTACTTATAATATATATTATATAATATACAAATATATATATAATTTGTATATAGAGCATATATTTTTTTCTATATATATTCTCTCTCTCTCTCTCTCTCTCTCTCTCAAATGTATTACATGTTCATGTATGTATATCCTATTGGTTCTGTGTCTCCGGAGAACCCTAATACAGAGATGGTACCACTGTTAGCACCTGCTCACACACTCTAGCCATACTACACCACCAGCCATGCTGGTGCTCAAACAAGCCACAGCTCCTCCCATTCTGGGCCCTTTAAACTTGAGTTCCTTCTGCACAGAACACATTTCCCTGAGGCCTTGAGCACGGTTCACTCATCCCTTCATTCAGGTCTCCTCATCTTCAAAGAGGCCCCCGACACCATAGGTGAAACAGCCCTCCTGCCATGTGCCACTCTCCCTTTGCTTTCTTGCTTCATTCTTCTCTACAGCATTTATCGTACCCCGAATATATGCTATCCACCTCTGTTTATTGTCTACCTTCCCCACTAGATCATAAGGCTCAATTGTAGGGCCATACCTTCCCTGCCTGATGTGGTCATTCAGTCACTGTCCCCTCCTGTCTACTCCCTCCCACCGGGCTTCTTTCAAGATGTCTTGCCCAGGCATTCCAGGGCTTACAGAAAGCTGTAACCTGGAATCCTCAAAGCCACTGCATTACTCCACCCCATCCCTCAGAGTATCCAATCTATGGCTCACTTCATTCTACTCATTCCTCCTTCTGCTCAGCTTTTTGGTATCAATAATTATGGAAAGGTACTGAGACTTGTGGGAGCTGAGAAGAAAAATGTTAAAAGCCTCACAGTTTGTCTTAAACACAATGACCACAAGCTCAAAAAGATTACGTGCAAAGAGACTTCGTACATTATTCATAATAATAAAGAAGAGTAAATAATCAAAATGCACACTGGGAAATGGTTAAATAAAGTGTGGTATATCCATACTATGTACTTTTATGTAGCTATTAAAAAGAATGAAGTAGCTCTATATTGTCCTGGCACAGAAGATGTCTGTGATAAATAAAAGAGCTGTTGTTGAACACTGTGCATGCTATTATCCCATGTTTGTAACACAAAATGTTACCTATATTATACTTTTAACTATATAAGTTTTAAAAGGCAGGTACCAAATTGTTAATAATGGTTACTTCTGAGCAGTAGGATTGAGGGAATTTTTTTATTTTACTGCATTTCTGCATTATTTTATTTTTTATGATGATCACATATTACTTTTATAAAGAAATAAACAGTTAAAAGGAGTGAAACCAAAACAAAAATGAAAATAATTTGTCTGATCCATGAAAGGAGAAGGAGAGAAATCAGCCCAGTGCAACCAACTCTATAAGAACTTTGATGGAAAGTTTCATGGTCCCTCCCCCAGGAACACAGCATTGCCTAGAAAACTCCAGTGTGGTTCTGGGAATTCTTTTTTTTTTTTAATTTTTATTTATTTATGATAGTCACATACACACACAGAGAGAGAGAGAGAGAGAGAGAGAGAGAGAGAGAGAGAGGCAGAGACACAGGCAGAGGGAGAAGCAGGCTCCATGCACCGGGAGCCTGATGTGCTATTCGATCCCGGGTCTCCAGGACCGTGCCCTGGGCCAAAGGCAAGCGCTAAACCGCTGCGCCACCCAGGTTCTGGGAATTCTTAATGGCACAGAAGATTATGGCAATCAGTCAAGACTTTCAGTGCTTTTTGCAGTTTTCTTAGAATCAAGACTCAGATTTATGATTTTTAAATGTCCCATAAGCTTTCACCTAACTCTGTAAGACCTCTGAGTACCTAGGAATGCCAGAGTGGGTTGTGGTCTTACAGTTTTCCTCCTGTCCCTCTGGACTCTCTTTCCTTCACTGTGGTTCCTCCTTTGCCTGCATCTGAGTAAAGCTGTCCGAGAGTGCGCCTGTCCA